ATTCCCTTTGCACATCTTCACTTGGCCCACTCAGCTCTAATTTTGTGTGCGACATGTTCCTCAATGTTTTCATTTTTTGGGATTATCGATCCAAGATATTGAAAGTGGGCTCTTTTGGTATTTCTTGGCAGTCAACCTTAACTACTTCCTCGTCCTTCCTCCTATTATTACTACACTTGCATTCCATATACTTTATCTCAGTCAGGCTAATTTTAAGACCTTTAGACTCTAGAGCATCCCTCCAAAGTTCTAACTTTGTGTTGACGTCGCTTCAAGTCTCATCGATCAAAACTATGTCGTTCGCGAACAACGTAAACCATTGTACTTCATCTTGTATGTGCCTAGTTAAGTCGTCCATAATTAAGACAAAGAGGTATGAGCTTAACATTGACACTTGATGTATACCTGTTATCATTAAAAACTTACTCGTCTCTTCACTAGTTGTTTGCCCACCAATTGGCTCTACATATTGCTCACTATGTCAATATAGTACTTGCTGACTAATTTCTTTTTTAGCAATCACCAAATTAAATCTCAAGGTACTCTATCATAAGCTTTCTCTAGATCAATAAAGACCATGCAGATGTCTCTTCTCTTCATTCTAAGCTTCTCAATTAGTTGTCTAAGTAGGAAAATAGCGTCAATTATTGACCTCTCTGGCATAAAACCAAATTGGTTTTCTATTACACTCGTTTCATCCTTTAGTCCTTGCTCAATAACCCTCTCCCATAGCTTCATCGTGTGGCTCATAAGTTTGATCCCTCAATAGTTCACATAATTCTATATGTCTTATTTGTTCTTGTAAATAGTTATCACAGTACTTTTCCTTTATTCGTATGGCATTGTCTTTGTTTTCAGCACCTTGTTGAACAACTTGGTCAGCCAATCAATTCTGATATCCTCCATGCACTTTTAAACGTCTATCGGGATACCATCTAGTCCTAACACCTTTCCTATCTTCATCCTCTTCAAAGCTTCTTTCACTTTCGATATCCTAATCCTACGAATGTTTCTATGATCTTTGCCTTTATTTATGCCAATGGTTCTTTCTACAGCTGTGCTCCCATTGTGTTTGTCATTTAATAATTTTTGAAAATAAACCCTCCACATTTTGTTGAGCTCTTCATCCTTCACCAAGACCCTTTTATCTGCACTCTTAATGTATTTAATATGGTCTAGATCCCTATGCTTTTTTTCTCTCTTTCTGTTAATTTGAAGACGCCCTTTTCACTTTTCTTATTCCCAGTTTATATAGTAAATTGTCATATGGCTTTAGTTTAGCCTTACTATTTATTTAGAGTTTTTGTTAGCCTTTTCTATATTATTTCAAGTTTTGAATACTTCTATTACATTGCCAAGTTTTATGATATGATCATTTTTGTTAAGGCCCTTCTAAACTACATCACTTCAGCACCAAGTTTTCTTATCGGAATTTCCTTTCCTCTTTTGCCACTTTCTTAATACAATCAGCCATCTCATTCCACCAAGTTTTATGATATGATCATTTTTGTTAAGGACCTTCTAAACCTCATCACTTCACCACCAAGTTTTCTTATCGGAATTTCTTTTCCCCCTAATTTCTCCTAAAATGTCTTTTGCCACTTTCTTAATGCAGTTAGGTATCTCATTCCACATAACATTGACCTCATGTTCAAAGTTTCATTTTCCTTCTTTGACTAATTTGTTTCTAAATAGGTCTATTTTCTCGTTCTTTGAATTCTACCATCTAGTTCTTGAATGCTTATTAATTTCATCCCTTCTCTTCTATCTCTTCATGCAGATGTCCATAACCATGAGTCTATGTTGCCCAGTCACTCTCTCTCCTGGTAAAACCTTACAGTTGTACATGATGGTCGATCTACCTTCTAAATTAGGAAGAAGTCTATTTAGTTTTTTATATGATCCATTTTTATAGACTATTAAGTGTTCATCTCACTTTTTAAAGTAAGTGTTTACTATTGCTAGGTCGTAGGCCGTAGCAAAATTTAGAATCACCCTTCTCATATTTTTCACCAAACCCATATCCCCCATGTACCCCTTCATATCCTCTACTATCCTTCTCTAGATGACAATTTAAGTTACGTCATAAAAAGATTATATCCATTTGGTATGTCTTGGACTAGTCCATCCATGTCCTCCCAAAATTGTCTCTTAATTCTATCCTCTGGTACTACTTGTACGTGAGCACTAGTTACGTCAATTACCTTTTCCCCAAATACAAGTTTAATTAATATAAGCCTATCTCTCTTAACATTAACTACTTTATCGTTTAAATTTTTGTCTATTATTATACCTGCTCCAGTTCTATTATTATCTTTTCCCATATAACATAGTTTATACCCATCAATTTTCTTAGCTTTTTTCCCTTTCCACTTAGTTTGTTGTAGACATGCTGTGTTTACTCACTTTCGTCTCATTGTATCTACTAACTCCATTATCTTACTGTAAGCGTTCCTACATTCCATGTGGGTAGACGAATCCTATTATTTTGGAGTAGCTTCTTTACCTGTGGTTGTCCAGAATGTCAGGGGAACCCTTGCTTATTTTTCATCGCAACCAAGCGACGCTGCGGCACGTCGCTATTGGGCGCCTAAGTAACTCTTGCTCATATACCACTGTACGAGGGTCGAGTGCAACATGTTTTACGAGGAATGCCTTAGCATAAGCAGATAACATAGATTCATGATTTATGGAAAGTTTTGGTGAAGTTTTACTTTGGCTGCTTGTCTAACACAATCCACCTCCCTTACCCGGGCTTGGGATGGGTTTGAAAGTTGGACAGGGTGAACTAGCATGGTATATACCGTTTTTAATTTTTTCTCTTTTCTATCGGCTAGAACACTTACATATGTCCAAATAATACAGAATAAACTCAAAAGAGATAAACAAGAATAACAAATGGATTCTCACGTGCTGCCACTTAATACAACTCTCTTATTTTAATGATGAAAATTGCATAAGACTTTTGGGAACAAGAAATATAAACTGCAAAACAGAAAGTAAATTATAAGATTACCTCAATTGGACTTGATACACCCCACTTTGGGTCTCCTCCGATGGTGCACGAGATCAAGGTCTATCTCAGATCTTATAAGTATGGGAAGCCTAAGCTAGGAACCCTTCAATCACAGAGAGCAATGGTGGAACAAGATCGGGGCTCAAACTTGTATGGGGCGTGCTTACTCTAGGCTTAGAGGGCTAGCACGTGCCCCTTTTTCTTTCTCTAATTTTTTTCTAACTTTGAAGGGGGCTAGAGAGATCAGAGAGTGGCGTGCCACCTTGTGAGGGGGAGAAAGAGAGCTATAACTAATGGTGTAGAGAATAGGGTCGCCCATAGAGATTATTTGTAGTCTCTTGCTTAGGATTAGGGTTTCTAGGGTTAACCATCCTTATGGAGAATAGATCTAGACCTGTGGGGTGAGAGATTTTAGCCTCACAATTCTTAGATAAGCCATCATGATCAGGTGCTAAAACTTTATCCTTCAGCTTCTTTAACCTAATCCCATCAAATATTCAACACATGAAATATATTTCTCTTTCCTTTTTTTCATGACTTTCTTATACATGCTTATTTGAAAAGTCAAAATCTTTTTCATGAAAAAACTTCCCTTTTTATTTTCAATTTGATGGAGTGGCTGATTTGCATGCCACAAAATAGGAAAACAACTTTGCTATGTGGGGCATGCCTCTCATGGTGCCCCAAGTGGGCCCCACACTCCACTCCACATGCAATATTATGTTGGGGCCCACGGTCTATAATGGGCCCCCATGTGTATTAGCATTTATAAAATAGAGAATGATTTATAGGAAAGCAACACCACTATGTGGGGCATGCCTCTCATGGAGCCCCAAGGGGGCCCCACGCACCCCTCCACATGCAATATTATCGTGGGGCCCATGGTCTATAATGGGCCCCCACGTGTATGAGCATTTATAAAATAAAGAATGATTTTTAGAAATTGTTTGCTATTTTATTTTTCTCTTTGAATTATTAAATACTGAAAATTCAGTTTTAGGCTATTTATAAACCCAAAGGCTTCTAAAAATTCATTTTATTAATCTAAGCATGATTTAAAGTCAAATTAATTAATTTTAGATTAATTTGATGGGATTTGGATCCAACTATGTTAAAGAAATTGTGAAATCACTAAAGCACTCCATCTTCTACTAGAGACTATAATTGACACCCACTTTCTCAAACTAATTTGGTAGTTCCCATGACTGACAGTCCATCACAAGGGTCCGCGATTGGGCTACCAAAATTAGCGTGTAGGTGAGGGGACACAATGCTAGTCAATGGATTACATGTTCCCCCCTAGTGACAAGTCTTAGGTCACACAGACTTGTGCACATGATTCGCATTTGGTGCATATAGGGGTTATCTTTCACACATATACACGCATCACCCTCAATGATGCTTGCTTTCTGATGTGGTTATCATGTGTACAATGTCGTGTGATGGTATAAGATGATGCTTTGGCCATCGTCTCTTCAGGCCTATCAATCACACACAAGGGTCACACAGTTTCTTGGCTCACTACCCTGGGCAACTCCGACCCACCCTGCTAACCCTTCTCAGTTGTACATGCCCAGGTATTTAGGGATTTGGTACTCGACTGGCCTAGCTCGTCAAGTCTAGTCCGAGTCTCGATAAACAATATTGTCAACATTGGTCCTTCTAGAGCATAGTCCCACTGGAGTTCTTTGTTCCACTATATCAAAATTGGTTACATGCTCTCATAAGGCCTTTAAATGGCCACAAAAACCCAACAGGGTTGAAAGAAAGTTTAAGTTCCTCACCCTTCTTAGACCATTGTTGTGGATTTGTTTAATATTTATTTTTTTATTGTGATGAATTTCTTGGATCTTACTTCTCTTTGTTTAATCTCGAGATTTACATGCAGAAATTTCAAGTTGGCATGAAATGATTTTCAAAGTTATATCTCATAGATACATATGATTACTTCTTTTATTTAATAGTTATTGTAATTTTTTTTCAGCCTCCCAAAATTCGTGCCTTCATCAACAGTGTAACATCTACTCCTCTTGAGGAAATAGAAAAGCCCCTCAAAAGTTTCACTTGGGAGTTTGACAAGGTATGTGGCTGAAGCTGTTTCTCTCTCTCCCCCCCACCCCCCACCCCCCCTCTCCTGCTTTCTTCTTCTTCTTCTTTGGGTCGTGCAATGAATTTTTGGGGTTTTGTTGATATTGAGTCTCTTTGGTGGCAAATAACTAGTTCTACGGCACTGTGCAGGGTGACTTTCATCATTGGGTTGATCTTTTTAATCATTTTGATTCATTCTTTGAGAAGTATATAGTACCAAGAAAAGATCTGCAGGTGGGGGATAATTTTTTGGATGTGGATCCTCCCTTCCCTAGGGAAGCTGTCCTTCAGATTCTTCGTGCCATAAGGATCATCTTGCAGAAATGCACAAACAAGCACTTCTATAGTTCTTATGAAGTGAGTTCCATCTCATCAACTTGATGTATACTACTTATTTTTCAACAATTATTTAGTTCCATAGGAATCGAGCTTGGGTCAAGACGGTAGCAGCTGGGTTTTCATAGCACTACATCTCAAGTTCCATTCCTATGTATCCTTGTCAAAAAATAGAAGAAATAGGTATTTAGTTACATGCATTTTTTTATTTGACTGGGAGCATGTCAATATTATTGGTTTTTCTCCATGAATTGCTTTGCAAACTTAGAGGAGCATCTGTCTTCTGCACATTTTAACTCACAACATATACTTTGACAAGGAATGGCACTTACACCATAAGCTAGTTTTTGCAGTTTCTATGAAACTTTGGGTAGCTATTTTTATTATTTTTATTTTCATTTTAGGAATTTCATGTACAGATGACTGGCAAAATACTGATCAGCTATGCTATACAGAGAATGCATACTGTATCTGAAATTCCTACAATTATGAACTTGATAAACAAGCTATGCTGGCCAAAAATTAGCTATGCTAGCTAAACAAGATTGAGATGCCATATTTTGAAACATGAAATTTTTGTTTTAGCCCTGTGGTGTTGTTTGAACTTTGTTATGTGAATGAGGGCTTAGGACTTGGCATTGGGATAATAGTTTATACAACATCACATCACAACCATGCCTTTTGGGTGTGAAACTTCACAATCCATTGAAATTCTGCCCTGTTATAGACACTAAGCATTTTTCTTGTAATGGACTGCGGGATAGCCCTCCCCTCTTGCTAGAGGGTGAGAGATTTATGCAGTCCACTTACTATGTGCATTTTTCTTGTAATGGACTGCGGGATAGCCGTCCCCCTGAACACTTATTGCTGCCTGCATCTAGATATCCTTTTTATCATTCCGTATCAGTTCTGTCAATGGGGTTATATATTAGTGATATTTTGATGTTTATCCAGTATCTGTTTTATTTCCTTATTGGATATTTTTAACATTTACATTATCCACCTTTCATCTGATGTCAATTCAGCGGCATCTCTCATATCTCCTTGCTTCAGCCGATGCTGATGTGGTGGAAGCCAGCTTACAAACTTTGGCTGCAATTTTGAAGAAATCATCCGGCAAGGGCTCCATACGAGATCCTTTGCTTCATTCAAAGCTATTTGCTTTTTCCCAAGGATGGGGTGCAAAAGAAGAGGGCCTTGGGTTAATTGCTTGCTCCACAGAGAACGCCTGTGATTCTATGGCTTATCAGTTGGGTTGCACTCTTCATTTTGAATTTTATGATGCCAATGAATCACATATGGGGGGATCTGGTCGAGGGTTGCAGGTGATTCATCTTCCAGATATCAATTCTCGTGATGAAACGGATCTTGAACTTTTGAATAAGCTGATATTGGAGTACAAGGTACCTTCTAAGTTGCGTTTTTCTCTATTGACAAGGCTACGGTTTGCAAGGGCATTTGGGTCCTTAGCCACCCGGCAACAATATACATGTATTCGGCTTTATGCTTTTGTAGTGCTTGTTCAAGCAACAAGTGACTCCGATGACTTGACTGCCTTTTTTGATAACGAGCCTGAATTTGTTGATGACCTAGTATCCTTATTAAGCTATGAAGATGTAGTTCCTGAGAAGATTCGAATTCTAGGGATTCTATCATTGGTTGCTCTCTGCCAGGACCGTTCTCACCAGACTACGGTTTTAAGTGTTGTGACATCTGGGGGTCATCGTGGTATATTACCCAGTCTCATGCAGAAGGCCATAGATTCGGTAATGAGTGAATCTTCGAAATGGTCAATTGTTTTCACTGAGGCACTTCTCTCTCTAGTTACCACTCTGGTATCTTCATCGTCGGGCTGCATTGCTTTAAGGCAAGCTGGATTTGTCCCAACCCTCCTCCCTCTTCTTAAAGACACAAATCCCCAGCACTTGCACTTAGTAAGTACTGCAGTTCATGTTTTGGAAGCGTTCATGGACTACAGCAATTCGTCTGATTCTTTGTTCAGAGACTTGGGGGGATTGGATGACACTATTTTCCGCCTGAAATTTGAAGTTTGTTCTATTGAGAAGGGTTCAAGAAAAAATGGGGAAGAAACCCAATGTAATTGGAAAGGGAAGGAAGTCATTGATACAACAGGTGAGCTGGATATGCAACCACTTTACTCTGAGGCCTTGGTTGCTTATCACCGGAGGCTTTTGATGAAAGCCTTACTTCGTGCCATATCTCTTGACACCTATGCTCCAGGGAACTCTGCTCGCTCTTATTCTTTGGAAGACAGCTTGCTACCAGAGTGCTTGTGCATTATTTTTCGAAGGGCTAAAGATTTTGGTGGAGGGGTCTTTTCCCTGGCGGCTACAGTCATGAGCGACCTCATTCACAAGGACCCTACTTGCTTTCTCGTTTTGAATGCAGCGGAATTGCCCTCTGCATTTCTCGACGCCCTCTTGGGTGGGGTTCTTTGCTCTTCAGAGGCAATAGCATGCATACCCCAGTGCTTGGATGCCTTGTGCCTTAACAGCGTTGGTCTCCAAGCTGTCAAGCATCGAAATGCTTTGAGATGCTTCGTTAAGATATTCACCTCACGAACTTACTTGCGAGCCCTTGCTGGTGATACCCCAGGAACCTTGTCCTCTAACTTGGATGAACTTATGCGCCATGCTTCTGCATTGCGTGGGCCTGGTGTGGACATGTTGATTGAGATTTTGAATACTATCATGAAAATTGGTTCTGGGGTAGAATTACCATCATCATCTTCTGAATCCCCAAATTCTTCTGCTCCTGTTCCTATGGAAACAGACATGGAAGAGAAGAACCCTGTATCTTCTGATGAAGGTGAACCATCCAAAGCTGAGGGTGTTGAACAAATGATCGAGGCTTCATCTGAGGGCACATCTGTAAATATGGAGTCATTTCTTCCTGAATGTATAAATAATATTGCTCAGCTATTGGATAACATTCTTCAGAATTCTGATACTTGCAGGCTCTTCATCGATAAAAAGGGCATTGAAGCTGTATTGCAACTATTTACGCTGCCCTTGCTGCCTCTTTCAGCTACAAGCAACCTGAATATCTCTGCTGCCTTTAGAAACTTCTCACCCCAACATTCTGCTGCTTTGGCTCGCGCTGTCTGTGCATTCTTGAAAGACCATATCAAGTCGACCAGTGAAGCCCTAAACTCAGTTGGTGGGGTGAAGCTCACTAGGCTTGAAGGTGTAGCCCAAATGAAAGTCCTGAGATGCCTGTCCAGTCTTGAGTGTCTCCTATCATTTTCAATTTCTTTGTTGAAGGGGACAACAACGATTATGATATCTGAGTTGGGTGTGGCTGATGCTGATGTACTGAAGGACTTTGGGAGGACATATAAGGAATTACTTTGGCAAATTTCGTTGAATAGCAATGCAAATTCAGATGAGAAAAGGGAGCTTGATCAGGAAACAGGAGCCTCAGGTTCAGTACCATCCAGCGTCAATGGAAGATGGAGCGATGATGATGCAAGCCTCATACCAGGATTCAGGTATGTTAACCCTGTCTCTATGAGGAGCAGCAGTACTTCACGATGGAGAAGAGACCCATTTTTCTTGACACCCATGCATCCTGGTGATGTCATGCATCGTCATGGCCGTAGGGATCATGCGCTTGACAGCTTAACTAGATGGAGGGCTAGTAGATCTACTCGCCTTGAAGAAAGTATGAACATTGACATAGAGGGTACCTCAAATGCTTCAGAATCCTCTCAAGTCCAAGAGGTAAAGAAGAAGAGCCTTGACACAGTTATTTCAGAGGTTTTGGCTAAACTGGCTTCAACAACACGCTCCCTCTATGCCGTGCTCGTAAAAGGGCTCACGGCTCCCAATCGTCGAAGGTTTGATTCTGGGCCAATGAGTTCGGCAGCCAAAAGCCTTGCAGTTGCCATAGCCAAAATTTTCCATGAATGTCTTAGCTATTCTGGTCACTCCACTTCTACAGGCCTTGAACTCTCACTATCAGTGAAGTGTCGTTATCTTGGCAAGGTGGTGGAGGACATGGTTGCTCTCACCTTTGATAGCAGAAAACGCCTGTGCAGCACAGTCCTAATAAACAACTTTTATGTACATGGGACATTCAAAGAACTCTTGACCACATATGAAGCCACAAGCCAGTTGCTCTGGACTCTACCTTTCTCTATCTCAGGTTCCTGTGTCGATCAAGGGAAAGCTCTCGAAGACCACAAATTATCTCACACCTCCTGGTTGATGAAGACTTTGCAGAGCTATTGCCGGTTGCTTGAGTGTTTTGTAAATTCTTCTTTACTCTTATCCTTTCCATCCCAGCTGCTTGTTCAGCCTGTTGCAGCTGGATTATCCATTGGCTTCTTCCCAATTCCAAAGGAACCAGAGGCTTTTGTTCGTTTATTACAGTCTCAAGTTCTTGATGTGATTCTTCCTATATGGAACCACCCAAGTTTTCCTCAATGTAGCCCTGTTTTCATTACTTCCATTACTTCTATTATTAACCATATATACTCGGGTGTTGGAGAGGTGAAGAAGAACAAGACCAGTGTCGTGGGAACCACAAACCCACGCTATATGGGTCCTCCACTTGATGAATCCACGATTGTTACCATAGTGGAAATGGGTTTTACAAGGGCAAGAGCAGAAGAAGCATTAAGGCGTGTTGAAACGACCAGTGTTGAGATGGCTATGGATTGGTTGGTTAGCCACCCTGAGGAGCCTGTACAAGAAGATGTCGATCTTGCTCGTGCTCTCGCCTTGTCACTGGGTAACTCCTCTGAATCATCAAAGGAGGATGGCAGTGAGAAGATTCAAGATATTCCAACTGAGGAGAGAGTCACTGAGATTCCTCCTGTTGATGATATTCTTGCTGCATCTATGAAACTGTTTCAATGTGGTGATTCATTGGCCTTTCCCCTGAGTGATTTGCTTGTGACCCTTTGTAGCCGGAATAAAGGAGAGGATCGCTCAAAAGTGGCTATTTATCTAATTCAACAACTGAAGCTCGCTAAAGTGGATTTCTCCGAGAAGGGTAAAGAGTGTGTTGCTTTATCTGCATTCTCCCATATTTTATGCTTAATTCTCAATGAAGATAGCAGTGTAAGAGAAATTGCTGCTGTAAATGGGATGGTCTCTGCTGCCTTGAATATATTGATGGATTTCAAACTTAGAAGATACTCTGGACAAGAGGTTCACTATCCAAAATGTGTAAGTGCTTTGCTTCTGATCGTGGATCTCATGTCTCAGTTAAAACCCAAGGTCTCTTTAAATACCACTGAGGGAACCATTTTGGGGTCCTTGGTGAACTCATCTGGAGGGGACACTTCTTTACCTCCTTTCTCATCTGTTGAGGGAAGATCTACTGCAGCTGGTGATGAGAGAGAAACTAGAAATGCATTTGAGAAAGTCTTGGGGAAGCCGACTGGGTATCTGAGTGTTGAGGAGGGCCATGCTGCAGTAGATATGGCAATTGAATTCATGAAACAACATGTTCCTTCGGCAGTTATGCAGGCTTCATTACAGTTGTGTGCCCGACTGACAAAATCACATATTTTAGCTTTGCAATTCCTTGATAGTGGAGGTTTGGCTGCTCTTTTCAGTCTCCCCAGAAGTTGTTTCTTCCCTGGATATGACACCTTTGCTTCCACTATCATACGCCACCTCCTAGAAGACCCTCAAACTCTTCAGGCTGCTATGGAGTTGGAGATAAAGCACACAATGGCGGGCAGCCTTAGCCGTCATGGCAGCCATGTCCCCCCCAGGATATTCTTGACATCAATGGCCCCAGTTATAGCAAGGGACCCGACAATTTTCATGAGAGCGGTTACCGCAGTTTGTCAATTAGAGTCTTCAGGAGGAAGGGTTACCATTGGTCTTTCTAGGGAAAAGGACAAGGAGAAGGATAAAGCAAAATCTGCCTCTATTGAAGTTGGGATTTCTTCTGATGAGGGAATTCGGTTTCCTGAAATAACTAATAAGTCACATGATGGTCAGGCAAAGTATTCAAAGGGTCACAAAAGAGTTCCCCAAAGCCTTACACAAGTAATAGACCAGCTCTTGGAGATAATTCTGGAATACCCATCTCCACGAAAGCATGGAGAGTATGCAAGTCATATAACAGCTATGGAAGTTGATGAACCTATCAGTAAGGAGAAGGGTAAGTCAAAGGTCAGTGAGATGGTTCAAAGTGATGAACATAACCTCTCTGAGTGCTCTGCTAATCTAGCAAAGGTGACTTTTGTCCTTAAATTGATGAGTGACACTCTTCTCATGTATTCACATGCTGCGGGGGTTGTCTTGAAAAGGGATTTGGAGGCCTGCCAACTTCGTGGGCCTGGCCAAGTTGATGGCCCTGCGCATACTGGGATACTCCATCATGTGATTCATCAGCTTCTACCATTGTTTTCTGATAAAACCTCGGAATCTGCTGAAGAATGGAAGGATAAGCTCTCAGAGAGAGCATCATGGCTTTTGGTTGTGCTTTGTGGTCGATCTGGTGAAGGTCGAAGACGAATAATTGGTGAGATTGTGAGATCCCTGAACTCTTATTCAAGCCAAGTCGGCTATTCCTCTAGGCATGTGATATCACCGGACAAAAGGATTCTGGCTTTTGCTGACTTAGTCAATTCCATTCTATCAAAAAATTCATCATCGGCTAATCTTCTTGGTCCCGTATGCTCCCCAGATGCAGCCAAGACCATGATTGACTATGGGGTGGTTCAGGCTTTGACCGGTATCCTTCAGGTTATCGATTTAGACCATCCAGATGCTTTGAAAACTGTAAATCTTATCATAAAGGCTTTGGAGGCTTTATCGCGAGCTGCAATTTCTAGTGAACAAACGAGCAAGTCGGATGGACATGTTAAAAAGAGATCTACAGCCACTATAGGGAGGACTGAAGATCAAACAGTCGGGCTTCCAAACGGTGGAATTATTGAGAATGAGCAAAATACTGGCCAAGGGGAAAGGTTGGGTGCTGAACCAAGTGAAGGGCAATTTCATGGAATTTCGTCTGGTCAGAATGTAGGGGAGCACGATGGAAATGACAACCAGTCCATGGAGCAAGACATGAGAGTAGAAGTGGATGGGCCTTTGAGCAATGATCATCAGGCTATGGATCATGGGGAGGAATTTATGCGTGAAGATATTGAAGAGGGTGACACAAATGGGGTTGGGATAACATTCAGAGTTGAGCACGGGCCGAATGATGATATGGGTGATGAAGATGAGGATGATGTAGGTGATGATGGTGAGGAGGATGATGATGATGAGGATGAAGATGAGGAAGACGATGAAGACATAACTGAGGAGGGTGCTGCTCATTTGTCTATGGTTGACACAGATGTTGACGACCATGATGACAATGGTCTCGGAGATGAGTACAATGAAGACGTGGTTGATGAAGAGGATGATGATTTCCATGGCAGTCGTGTCATAGAAGTGAGTTTGAGTGAAGGTCTAGATGGGCTTGATGGGTTGCAGGTCTTGGGACAACCGGGAGCTTCAGGTTCTGTTGTCGATGTAAGTGCCTCATTTCGAGGGATACATGTTGACGATATATTTGGGTTTAGAAGATCAGTAGGTGTTGATCGGCGTCACCAAACTAGTAGTCGGTCTTTCCTCGAACGACCGGGTCTTGACCATGTTAACACTTTGCAGCATCCATTGCTCATGAGGCCTCCCCAGTCTGGCGAAACAAATACTTCTACATGGTTGGCCAACGGAATTGGAACTTCTAGAGATGTGGAAGCTTTATCAGTTAGGAACTTTGATTTGGCTCACTTCTACACATTTGACACTCCTGGAGTTGTTCACGACCACACACCTGTTACATGGTCTGATCCATTGGTTGGTTCTGCATCACCTTTGATTGACTTCTCCATAGGCATGGAATCCATGCATGTGATGGGAAGAAGAGGAGGGCATGGTGATAGTCGGTGGACTGATGATGGTCAGCCTCAAGCAGGCACCCAAGCTGCCATTATTGCACAAGCAGTTGAGGATCTCTTTATAAACCGGTTTCTTAGCTTGGTTCCCATGGAAAGACTTCCAACACAGGGTTTATCTGAGAACCCAGAGGGACAGGAGAGGCAACGATTGGATATTTCACCATCAAATGGTGGGAAACAAATAGAGGTGGCCGGAAATAGTGTGGAAAACCAGCAAGATGAAGGACAGCATGCAATAGCTGAAAATCTGGGCCCCAATTTACCTGTTGGGTCAGATAACACAGGCACTCAACCAAAAGAGGGAGAACAAATTTCAACGCATGCTGATCAATGTCGTTCCAGTGAAAATATGCAAACTTTGGAGGGAACAGTCGCAAATCATAGACACTCAGAGTTGGTGCAAAATGCAGGGCCTGAAATTCCTTTACCTTCATTTGATGTTCGAAATGAGTCCTTTGATCAAGACTGTGTTGCAATGGATGCTGATCTTTCTGAGATTGAGCTTCAACGTGAGGTCACCCCTGGGCCTTCAGGAATGGAGAGTGAGTCGAGTACTTATGCTATGTTGGTTTCAGCTGATGAAGTACGTGGTTCAGGGTGTGCTCAATCTGGTTCTATTCATGCTAATGAAGATGTGGAGATGGACGGCGTAGATGCTTCTGTAAATCAAGCTGAAAGTCGAGATCCATCTTCTAATCTCAGGGTGGATGAGCCCTTATCTGAGCCAAATGCAAGAGATGCCCAAGATGCTAACCAGGATGAGCAAGCAAATGTTGGCGATGAGAATGGAAGCGCCAATGCTATAGACCCAACCTTCTTAGAGGCATTACCGGAGGATCTTCGTGCTGAAGTACTGGCCTCTCAACAAGCTCAACCTGCTAGAGCTGCAACTTATACCCCTCCTCTTGCAGAAGACATTGATCCTGAATTCCTGGCTGCTCTTCCACCTGATATCCAGGCTGAAGTATTAGCTCAACAACGTGCTCAAAGAGTGGTGCAGTCTCAGCAAGCGGTTGGACAGCCAGTTGATATGGACAATGCTTCAATCATTGCTACCTTTCCTGCTGATCTTCGTGAGGAGGTTTATATCAGAAACTCTTCGCTCTGTGTATTGAAAGTTAGGCTAATTTCACTCAAAATTGAAATGGGGGTTCAATTGCGTAGTGTTTTCCATATATATAACAGGGGTTTGAACCCACTCATAATCTGATTGTGTGGGTCATGATTGTCCATTGAAATGGTGGAAGTTGATGAAGGAGGGGCCCACTGGAGCAGGACTTGACCATCCATCTTTGGGTCCCATGCTATCTCCATCATTCGATCATTTCAGTGTATGATGATTACTCATTGAATTGTGGTTTTCCCATACTTTATTGGATTGAGCGATTCCAAAAATGAAAAATGCAATTTCAGCCAAATTTCTTCACTCTCTGAACCTGTGCTGTCTCATCATTACATACATAAGGAGTACTCTTGCTTTCCATAACTAAGGAGTCCTCTTGCTTGCCATAACAAATATTGGCTGAGATGCATTAGATACATTTGAGGCCTTGGCCTGAAACCTTTGTTGAAAACTGTCATGCTTTATATTGTTTCTGTTATATCCTTAAAATGAGCTTCTTTTTTTTTCTTTTTTCTTTTGTATGCTTTGTAGGTGCTCTTGACATCCTCAGAAGCGGTTCTGTCTGGGTTACCTTCACCTTTACTTGTTGAAGCTCAAATGCTTAGAGATCGAGCGATGAGCCACTACCAGGCCCGTAGCATTTTCGGAAGCAGTCATAGGCTTGGGGGTAGGAGGAATACTTTGGGAATTGACAGGCACACGGCAATGGATAGAGGTGTTGGGGTAACCATTGGCCGAAGAGCAGTTGCTGCCCTAGCGAGAAACACGAAAGTGAAGGAGATTGAAGGCACACCCCTCTTAGATGCTAATGCTTTAAGAGCACTTATCCGACTGTTGAGGTTGGCACAGGTAAGTTTTTGTTTTTTCATTCAACTTTCAAAAAAATATTTTTTGTTTTCCATTCTTTGTATCTGCTAGAATCCCTGGTTAATGTTGTTCTTGTGAGGGATTTGCTCATCTTTAGTTTTTCCCAATGTTTTAGTATGTGGTTTCAGTAATGAGACTACATCACAGCATCATTGGTTCATCTTTGTAGATGAAAATGTTAGATTTCTGATTTATATTTTATTCCCAATGTTTTAGTGTGGTTTCAGTCATTACATCACAGCATCATTGGTTCATCTTTGTAGATGAAAATGTTAGATTTCTGATTTATACTTGAACCTTAGTTTCATGTCCGAAGTCGTATTCAATATACTTATACCTTGTTTGTCGAAACTTTGAGTTGATATTGTTATATTCTGCGTGATCAGCCCTTGAGTAAAGGCCTTCTGCATAGGCTCTTGTTAAACCTTTGTGCACATGGTGGGACAAGGGCCACTCTAGTTCGCTTTTTGCTCGATATGATTAGGCCTGAAGCAGAGGGTCTTGTATGTGGATCCACTTCTATCAGTTCCCAGAGGCTATATGGTTGTCAATGGAATGTGGTTTATGGTCGTCCACAGATGGCAGATGGTATTGTACAACAAAGTGTTTTCTTGTAGTTTTTCTATTATATTTGTGTAGGCTGTGCTTGTGAATTTTATAAAAAGTTTTTTCAGCTCAGTATTGGTTTGGTCCTTTCTGTAGTCCTGAATTTGAACCAGCAAATCTATAAATTTACATGTGTATACATCTGGATAATACTCCTATTTTGTTATTTATCAGGTCTTCCGCCCCTTGTATCTCGTCGTGTACTTGAGATTTTGACATATCTAGCAACTAGTCATTTACCCGTGGCGGATAATCTTTTCTACTATCATTCTTTGCCCCTTGAATCTCCCAACCAGGCGGGGTCTGATATCAAAAAGGAGAAAGGAAAAGGCAAGATTTCTGAAGGGTCAGGTTCATCATCTCTGGGAACTTCTCAAAATATCAAAATACCTCTAATATTGTTTCTGAAACTCCTGAATCAACCTCTGTTTCTTCGTAGTAGTGCTCATCTGGAACAGGTAAGTAGATGGTCCTTTATAAATATAAATTCGTAATTGAATTAATGGCTTCATAAATAACCATAAAGAAATAAATCCATAATTGGAGTATAAGGATATGCTTTGTACTTGCCTCCTGATCAAATTCTGTCTTCCAGGTGATTGGTCTTTTACAAGTAGTGGTGAATAATGCTGCTACAAAGGTGAAATGTCAACTTCACTCTCGGCAGGTGCTAGATGGTTCTCAGTCTCTACCTGATAAGAGTGCACCCTCTGACACTAGAAAGGATGGTCCTGCTTCAGAGCAAACTGAGCTAAAAGAGCCAGAAAAAAGCTCAACCACTAATGCCTCCACTTCAGGTGGAAAGGAAGAAGTTAACCCATATGATGTTCTCTTGCAACTTCCAGAGTCAGATTTGCGCAACCTTTGCAGTCTTCTTGCACATGAAGGGTACTAGACATCATTGTTTTCTGTCAACATTATTGTACTAGACATCATTGTTTTTTCTCAACATAATTGTACTAGATATCATTGTTTTTTCTCAACATTGATATATATGATGATGCCTTGTGAAGTAAATATTGGGTTTTGGGATTTTCAGATGCTTATGTCGAAAGGAAAGTTTTTGGATATCTGACTGATTTTGGACTTAAATTTGTTCCCAAGAATATGGTTCCTCTATTTCATATAAAAGACTCTTGAATGAATTTGTTTTGATCTCAAGTCTCAACCAAGTGACATTAATTTTTTCCCAAGTATCTCATGAATTAAATAAAATTTTATATTTAATTTGTTCTTGTTACATTGGTTATGTGGTCTATATAATTTGACCCCAAAATTTGGTTGCAAGTCCATAGTTCTTCCCTTTCTGAAAGATACTTTGTCCCAGGGCAACAACCGAATACCATCTGAATTTCAAATTTAATGTTATATTAATTGTATTTGCTGATTGCTGGTCTCATATCCTTTATACGTAGTGATAGACCTGTTATCATGAAAAGTAGTGGGGTAATTTTGTGTGTGAGTTACTTGTTTAATGCCCTTGTTATCAGCTAAGTGTATGCTTCAGATATTGTTTTTCTTTTTGATCGTCATTAATTAGTTGATCAGTGGGAATAATTTCAATCGTAATTGATTTAGGTTATCAGATAAGGTGTATTCACTTGCTGCTGAAGTTCTCAAGAAATTGGCCTTTGCAGTGGTCCCCCATAGAAAATTTTTCACTTCTGAGCTAGCCAGTTTGGCCAATGGGCTAAGTGGGTCATCTGTTCATGAGCTTGCAAACGTTGCAAGCACCCAAATGCTGGAGTTAAACACAGGTTCTATGGCAGGGGCTGCAATCTTGAGGGTTTTGCAGACTCTTAGCAGCCTCGCCTCTGTGGGTGATAGTTATAGGGTTGAACAGAGAGAAAAGGAGCATTGTGAGCAAACCATCATGTGGGAGTTGGATTTAGCACTTGAGCCATTGTGGCAAGAACTGAGTGCCTGCATAAGCAAGACTGAGACCAACTTGATGCATATTCAAGCTTTTCCCTCTCCCTCACATAGCTCAAATGCTGGAGACCATGGTGGTGGAGCCTCAGCATCGTCGCCTCCCCTCCCTCCTGGCTCTCAGAGGTTGCTTCCTTTCATAGAAGCCTTCTTTGTTTTGTGTGAGAAATTGCAATATAACCAATCGATAGTATCTCAGCCAGAGCAAATTGATGTTACCGCTAGAGAAGTGAAAGAGTCAGCTGGGGCTTCACGTCTTTCTAACATGAAAAGTGGGTGTGTTGGGCAACGGCGTTCTGATGGTTCCATGACCTTCACTAGGTTTGCTGATAGGCACCGCCGCCTTTTGAATGCTTTTATAAGGCAGAGCCCGGGTTTGCTCGAGAAGTCTCTCTCTCTCATGCTGAAGGCACCGAGATTGATAGATTTCGATAACAAAAGGTCATACTTCCAATCAAGGATCAGGCAGCAACATGAGATACACCCTTCTCCTCCTTTACGCGTCAGTGTAAGAAGGGCATATGTCTTGGAGGACTCATTCAACCAGTTGAGGATGCGATCGAGCCAGGATCTTAAAGGGCGGCTCACTGTTCAGTTCCAAGGAGAAGAAGGGATCGATGCTGGTGGGCTTACTAGGGAGTGGTACCAGCTACTATCTAGAGTGATATTCGACAAGGGAGCTTTGCTTTTCACGACAGTTGGAAATAATACTACATTTCAGCCCAACCCCAACTCAGTTTACCAGACCGAGCATCTTTCTTACTTCAAATTTGTGGGCCGTGTGGTAATTTTTTACTGGCAATGACTGGATTATTCTGTGCGAGAGAGAGGCCGGGGGGGTCAGGCAGGTTCTAGGATATGGGTCAATTAAGTTTTTGATGGGATAGAAACAAGAAATGGGAGGGAGGGCATTTTTTTTTTTTTTGGTGTTAGGGGTGGGGGCTGTTGTTGGGTGGTGTTGGGGTGAGGGAGGGAGGGAGATTTGCTTCATGCTTACCATGTGATCGTGCTGTGTGCAGGTTGCTAAGGCACTCTTTGATGGCCATCTACTGGATGTCTACTTCACTCGCTCCTTTTACAAGCATATTCTCGGCGTGAAAGTGACCTACCATGATATAGAGGCAGTTGATCCTGATTTCTACAAGAACTTGAAGTGGATGTTGGAGGTGAATATTGATTGTGGGTGGAGGGTTTGCATCTGATAATTTGATGAAATTTTGGGAATAAATGGCTTATTATGTGCTGCTTTGTCAACAGAATGATGTGAGCGATATTCCTGATCTGACTTTTAGTATGGATGCTGATGAGGAGAAGCACATCCTTTACGGTAAATCTGAGGTATGAAAATAAAAAAATTTAGTGAAACAGAATCCTTGGTGGCCTCCAGATTGGTTTATGATTCATGACTGGAGTTTTAGTTTTTATTTTTTTAGAATGATCATGAATTGGTTTTACAATCAGGAAAGTTTATTATAGTGTCGTGTGATGGATGGTGATAGAATGGGATTGGGGTTGTCACCATCCATTTCATTAGGTGATTACCCTGAAGGACTATGGTAGCCCACAGTGCGTTAAACTGTGCTGTACTTTCTCTTTACAATTATTTCTTTCTTTAAGTAAGATGTGTTTATACTTGCTTTATGTGTATTTAATCTGGGTTTTCCTCTTTACACTACTTTACTCTCATTGTCAATTGAGTTCATTGCTCTATTACTTGAACCAAAAAACTAAACAAGAAAACAAAGAAAAAGAAAATAAAAGAAAAGAAAGAAAAGAGAAAGGAATAGCCATTACTGCATTGTCATTATTTCTTTTTTTTGTTTATATTTGAAGGTTACGGACTATGAGCTTATACCCGGGGGAAGAAATATAAGGGTAACAGAGGAAACAAAGCACGAGTATGTTGACCTTGTGGCAGAACATCGGTTAACAACTGCAATCCGTCCACAAATTAATAGCTTCCTCGAAGGTTTCAATGAATTGATCCCTAAAGAACTAATCTCTCTTTTCAATGATAAAGAGCTTGAGCTGCTGATCAGTGGGCTTCCAGAAATAGACCGTAAGTTTTTTCTAATGGATAGTAGTAGCACATATGCAGTTTTATATAGTTCAGTACAATAAAAAAAACTCCCCAACAGGTTATTGGTATATAGTTAAACATTAAACTCATTTATATTAAAAAATAGCAGTAAGAATTTAATCTTTTCTTTCCCTTATCGAGTCATTTTCTATATCTTGTAGTTGACGATTTGAAGGCCAACGCCGAGTATTCAGGATACACTGCTGTATCAAGTGTTATTCAGTGGTTTTGGGAGGTTGTGAAGACATTCAATAAGGAGGACATGGCTAGGCTGCTTCAGTTTGTAACTGGAACATCAAAGGTAAACGTACTTTTCTCATTTTCAGCATTGGTTATTCTTTTTATCTTTCCATTTAGGAAGACAAAGGGTGTGTGTACGTGTGTGTGCGTGCGCATGTGCAGGTGTTGGGAAGGACGCAGAGGTAAGTGTAATTGCAACTGTTTGCATGGAGATGAATAAATTGCCAGAAGGTTTTAGGATTGGCCAAGATGCTTATGGCTCTATATCTGATATCTTTTTCTAGATCCTTTTTTTGTACCAATGTTCCCAAGCTAAAAGAATTTCCACACCATTTGCACTAAACCTGCTTGGTTGAAAAATATTCAGGTTCCTCTGGATGGTTTTAAAGATTTGCAAGGCATCTCGGGTCCCCAGCATTTTCAAATTCATAAGGCATATGGAGCTCCGGAGAGGTTGCCAACAGCCCATACCTGGTTAGTTATAGTTTTATTCTTAAGGCCCCTTCTTCACTATGATTATTTTTTACAATAGAAAAGAATAGGAAGTAATAGAAGTAATATACATTTTGCACATGGTTTTTTTGTTGTAAATTGCAGTTTCAACCAACTAGACCTTCCTGAGTATTCTTCGAAGGAGCAGCTTCAAGAACGGTTGTTGCTTGCAGTCCATGAGGCCAGTGAAGGCTTTGGCTTTGGATGACCCCATAGCCTCTCGATACCCAGTTCTTCTTCCAGTTGCTAATCTTGCAGGTGAGTCCCTTCTTTTCATGCATTCCATATTCTTGTCTGGTTGATATTCTAAATTATAAATTTCAATACCTTGCCCTAAACATAACTTTTTAGTTTGAAATATCTTATCTGGTTGCTATGGGAAAGGTTTCTATGCTTCCCCTACAGCATAAAATATATATACTTCCCCCTTCATTTAACCGTCCAATTTAGATAAAGTGAGCCACTAACCATTTAATCTAGATCGGACGCCTCAAAATATTTTATTTTTAATTTTTTTTACTAACTATATGACTATGAAATTTAGTATGTTGCCATCACCTCAATGGAGCGCACCTAAATAAAATGTTTAAAAAATATTTTTGATAAAATACAATGACCAAAATACCCCTGAAACTTTCAGGGGCATTTTAGTCATTTTATTTTATTGGGAATATTGTTTTTATATTTTTTATAGGTGCGAGTTCAAGAGAGGATTGAAAGTCCAAATTTTGGTGTCAAAATGTTTTGTATAAAAAAATTAAAAATAAAATGGTATGGAGGGTGACATTATGATTGGGGCCATCTAAGCTGTCCATTTAGAATGGACAGTTGGGTAGGGGGAAGTATAGAAATTGTATGCTGCAATGGAAGCATATAAAGCTTCCCCAATTGATATTCCCCTTGTATGTGTGTCTGAATGTTTATATGTTTGTGTAACGCGAAGAAAGGAGGACTTGGGGTGTGGGGTGGAATTTCAATGCTCTCTCTCTCTCAGGATCTTTTCTATTCCATCATTCCCATTTACTCTTCACCTCTCACATGGCAGGCCCTTTATATGTGTGTGTCATGTATTATTGTTTTTATGTTTCTAAAGGATTCGTGATCTTGCAGATACACAGAAGTTCCGCGCTGAAAGAATCGATCTGTCTAGAGGTATGGCTGCCTTATTTAAAAGATTGATTTTGTGAGTCAATTAATTCTTTCAAACGTGAAAATTTCTTTATTCATAGGGAGCTCCATAGAAAATTCTTGCATTGGGATGGAGATTTGGCAGCTCCCTGATTCAATGTTGGAAAGCTTCCTTCAAAAAAATACAGAGGATAGGCAAGTGAAGGAAGCTAGCATCTGCAAAGGCTAGGAAATGCAATTTCTTTTCCTTTAATAGTCTTGGAATGAACATACATTTGAATATAAGAAAGAGAATAAAGAAGAAAGTGAGAGCCTTTTTTTGTTGTCTTTTCTGTGAGCCTCAACAAAGCGAGGAATGACAACAGTCGATGTAGTTAGCAACTGGTGCATGAAATAAAAGTGGAATTTGGGTTATGAAGATATATTGCTGTGTGTGCACGCACGCGCACATATGCAACTGGTGAATGAAACAAAAGTTGAATATTGGCTTTGTTGTTATTTTGCTCTGTGTGCTCGCCCTGCAGCTGGTGAATGAAACAAATGTTTGAATTTGGGTTTTGATGGTATTTTGCTCTCTCTCTCTCTCTCTCTCTCACACACACACACTCAGAACACTGGTGAATGAAATAGAAGTCGAATTTGGGTTTTGATGATATTTTGTCTCTCTCTCTCTCTCTCTCTCTCTCTCTGTGTGGAACTGGTGAATGAAATTAAAGTTGAATTTCTGTTTGATGATATTTTGCTGTGTTTCTTGAAGTTCTATTTTAGATGAAATGTGATTAGAAATAATAGGATATTCAGTTGTACTTTACAAAGGTGCATGATCGTCAGTCTACCAACCTTAACAAAATTTTGAAAATCTGAGTGTCACATTGAAGTGACTACAAATAATTCAAGTTATGAAATTAAATATGGGTGCGGTTTGTATAGAGCCGAGGCCCCAAACAATAAAATTAGAGCTGACCTTCAAATTGTGTCGAGAAATATGGTTTTCAATAATGAAAATCTTTGTGATCGCCCTAACATATATTTTCATCTTTAATTATAAAATTTAAAACTAAAAAAATAGTGTAGATCTATGAAAATCTTGAAAATTGACTGTCCAATAATGTATTATACGATGCACTATTTCTAAATCTTGTAATCCAGTTTTTTCGTATGTCAATGCATTTTGATGTTGAGATGATCAATTTGAGGATATTTGGGCTTCAAAACGATTTTTTTTAGTGAAAGTTTTGAGGTGGGTTCAAATTTGATTGTTTAAGCGTAGGATTTATATAAACTTTTTCCTAAACAAAAATATAACTAGAGCGAAGATTGAAAATAACCACAAAAATAAGTTGCATGGTAATAAATAAAGGGGGTCATTGAATGCATCTAAGCTTTTGCTACTACCAGCAAAATAAAGGTAAATACTTGCACCCAAGTTGCTTATGGTCCATGATAAAGTAAGTGGAAATTCAAGCCAGCAAATTTTTTTTATATTTCCTCCATGTTTTGCATGAGAAAAGCAAAAGCAGAGGAGCAAATCAGTGATTCAGAAATTCGCGAGCGGGTTCGGAATTGCCCGATTCAGGATAGCGCCAAGCTTATTGATGATTTCTTGAATCTTCGTGATGACTCCCTATGCCGAATCAGGCAGGCATAATTAGACAAATAGCCAGTGAATCCACCTCCATTTTGCAGAAGGCTAAGCCTCTGATTTCTCCCACCAAATTTTTATGTTACTTCATTACTTGTTCCTAGTTTCTCTCAGATTTTGAGAAAGCTATGCATCCTCTCTAACTCGCACATGAGCCTTTCTACTTGATCATGCACTCCATAGAGGAATGTGGCTTCTGTTTCACTCAACTTTTGCAAGAGAACACGCAGAAATGTTTCGGCCATTGCCAGTCTTTCCCTTCTTCACAGATAGATAAATCTCTCTCTGTCTCTCTATTCCTAGTATCTTGCTTCTAGAGTGCTTTAGCAATGCTCATTTACAGGAGGTTTTCTTTCCGAACGATTCTCTATCTTGCCGTCTCTCGTTTGTTTTTCAGCGTTTGTTAATGCTTTCATGTAGACTTCTGTATTTACTTCAGAGTCTTTTTCTAACTAATTGGAGTCGATTGTGTTAACTTTAACGGTTAATAATTTTTGTTTTCCAACCTAGTGCATAATTTATAATATTTTCTTGGTGGATGATCAAGGCATGAAATAAAGACAGAAGGAAAGATGGGATCTCGTTGAATTAATCAGGTGGTGGTAGAGGTGCCTGTTAAATTAGACCCTTTTAAAGGTGTTTTAATGGAAACTCGTTGTTTAGCTTTTACATCAATACCCCTACCCTGTCTAATAACTAATAAGCATGGGTCCGTGAGTCCACTTGAGTTATTTGGAGTCCCCCATAAGGCAAGTCCGAGTACCCCGAGTTATGTGTAGAACTCAGGGTAAATAAGAAAGGAGTTAAAAATTTTATAAAAAACATAGGAATAGTATATAGTTTTTTTATATATGATTTGGATGTTTTATAGTTTTTTTATACGATTTGGATGTTTTTGAAAATGAATGGTTAGTGTTTTTCTTTCCATAATCCCTATTTTTTTATTTTTCTTTTTCTGGATTTTTTTAAATCTACTCATTTATAAATTCAGTTTTTTAGATCCATTTTATACTTTTAAAATCTTATTTTGAAATTTTAAAGTTGCTTTTAGTTTTATTATACTTTTCCTTTAATTTTTAATATTTTTAGTATTTTTATTTTATTTTTCTAGTTTTTTTTTTTTTTTTTTCTTTGTACAGGAAGAGTCCGTTTAGATTGACATTTGATGGATGGGGTGCGTGAATTGGTCTCAATCTGTTGCTCACTTTGGTACTAATCCACTCAACAATGATCAATCACTCTACATGCCAGAATTCCCTCCACGCTGTTCTAGTTGGATAATTACAAAGGTGAGTTGCTAAATGTGATGGATGAATTACTTACTTGGAAGTTTCAGAATTATTCGATGTGGTTTACGAAAGATCACGTGGATCTTTTGCGTTTAAAGCCGGAAAGAATGTGTGTGTCCTTCTTGCCCTAAACCAAATTGAACACTCCAGACTTCAACATACTTTCCGGCTTGAACCAACTTGGTGAGGTGAGGTGAGGTGAGGCATTGCAGGCTGCTTGGTAGCTTCTCTAAATATCTTTGTAGCTTCATTTTCTCAAGGAGCATCAGGGGGACGAGACTGCTTCCAAAATTTGCATTATTCTTATATTCCGTGTTTGAAGAGTTAGAGAACGCAGGCATTTTAGATTTCCAATGTAATTGTAGATGGTCTTAATATCGTCCTCCAGAATCTCATTGATAGAAAGTTTTGTGAGTTGGGTTAAATCACCCCATAATTCTAATATGAGCAACCACTATTAAGTATAATCATCCCTCGAAGGTCTGAAGAAAATCTCGAACTCTTTGCTGTCAAATGCATTGGTTGGCTTGCCAAAAGTATTCTATTTGCATAGAAATGCCTCGATCTTGATAAAATTAAGGGCACGCATTTGCTGGTGGTAGAGCAAAGAAATCCAAAAACTCTCAAATCAAGCGTTTCTAAGTGTTGAAGATTGTTTGTAGAGCTTGGAATCTTTTCGAGTAAAAGACTTCTCCGAAAACTAAGTACCTGGAGGATGAGTCAAAATTCCCAACTGCTTGGGTAAGTTATATGCCATAATATTCTCAAGTACTAACACCCGAAGTAGCTCAACTCTGGGCAAATAGGGTATTGGGTTATTAAAAACTCGAAACCCAGTTAATAAAAGGAACGAATGGATTTTTGATGCATTCTTAAAGAATGAGACATGGTCTTCAATACTCCAGTGGAAGGTAAGGTGTCGAGCTCTTTAAGAGGGCATGTCATCTTAACCAGCAATCACTCCCAAGAAGTTCTCCTCCTTGGCTTTGGCTATTACCAAGTCGTGCAAAAGATCGTGAACAACACAAGGTTTGATGCGTTCCCTCAAGCTCATGTTTTCCACCTGCAATATATTCCGACTTACCAATCCTTCAAAATTGTCTTCTGCTACATCTTCCAATGTCTCATCTCCTCGCTTCTCAATAAACCCCTCAGCCAGCCACAATTGAACTAATATTGTTCTTCTGATCATGAAGTCTTTAGGGTACACATACAAATATAAGACGCATGGTTTGAGGTAATAGGGTAAATCGATATAACTCAATGACAAGATATCAGAGATTTTGACATCACCTTCATCCAGGTACCAACGAAAGCCAAAGCACTCTCTTCCATGACACCAGTGTCATATCTTTTGTGGACAAGAGACCTCCGACAACAACAAGCGCGAGGGGTAGGCCACAACATCCTTGTGCAATTTGGTGGCTTATATCTGCCATATTCTTAGGGCACCTTCCATTAGAATTTACGAATGCCTTTCGACAGAATAGCTCCCAGCTTTCTTCTTTTGGCAATGGCTTCAGATAGTGGATTAAATTCATTGAAGCAATTCAAGAAGCTACAGCATTTATGCGCGTTGTTATTACAACTCTACTTTCATTGTTCATGTCTGGCAGCGCAGCTTCTATGCTTTCCCAAGCATCAGTCTTCCATATATCATCAAAGACTACTAAATACCTCTTTTCCTGCAAAGAACCCTCATCAATTCTTGGTAATCCATATTTTGTGTGTCTGCTGGAGGCGTCATGACTCCATTTATCACGCCACGAAGTGTTTCATCCTCTTGGTATGTCTGAGATACACAAACCCAAGCGAAGCAACTAAAATGTCTCGTTACATCATCTCAGTTGTAGGATTTCTAGAAAACCACGTAACGTTGTTTCAGTCCATTGAACAATGATCTTGTTAATGAGCTCAACTCTCTTTTGATCCCTACCAAATCAAGTTCCTTGCCTATTAGAGGTGTTGTCATCCTCTTATCTTTTGATCCTTTGGGCTCTAGAACTTGTCCTCTTCCTCCCTAATGCTACTTTGTGGCAGAACATAGATTGGTTTCCTCTTTAAAAGATCATCAATTTTATTGTTAATCTCTTCAATCTTTGTGCCCCTCCATTGCCAAATCAAGAGGGCATAATTAGCTAAACCACCAAAGAATCCGCTTCTCTTTCGCCGCTCAGCACGACGAAGAAACTAGTTGATAACATCCTCAGCCTCGTAAGCTAATTCTCTTATTTGCCCCACCAAAGTTTTGTTTTTGTCATATCATCATTTTCTCCCATGTTTTGTGTGATTTTGAGGAAGGAATGGATCCTGTCCAACTCAAACCTGAGCCTTTCCACTTGATCCGGTACTTTATAGAGGAAAGCCAGTTCTTGTACAAGAGGGTCACATAGCTTTTGCAAAGAGACACGCAGAGCGGTTTCTTGCCATTTCTGATATTTCCTCTAATAAGCTCGATACTATTTCTCTGTCTGCCTCTCACTATGTTTTGAAATTTTGGATATAAAATGCTTCAGTGACTCTTAAATGGTGATCTAATCTTTTGGTTTCTCTCAGCATGTTTCTTTTGATTTCCTTCTTTCTTCTAACATTGGTTTTTATGTTCTAGTCTAATGTGGACTTCATTAATTTTTCTAGAATAGTGAATAAATTATTTTTCCCACCCACTTCTCTTTCTTTCTTTTGCTCCCCCGCATCCCTTCTCTCTCTCTCTCTCTTCACGTTTCCCATCTCATTTTTACGAGCTTCACAAAACCCACACTCCTTTGTCTCCATGAACGAATCGGACACACTCCTTTCTCTCTCCTCCAACAAATGAACGTAAAGCCAGCCTGATATCAGCACAAAGAGAAACGTGGGGTTATCTTAGCTGGGTCTATATCGACATGAACAATACTCGCCGCCCTACTTGCAAAAGCCTCCAATTTTCCAGTCACTCTATCATCAATCTCTGTTTCCAAGGTATCAGAAAAAACCATTTGGCCTTCTTCATCTCGCCTAAGGTGCTCTCTCTTAATTCAAGAATCTTTCAATTATTGAATACAAAATTTATGAAACTTAAATTGGGGAACTCTGAAAATTGAAGAAAATGGCCCCTATTTATCTTATGATCTGTTTGTTAACTGAGAACAACTTGAGAACTCAGGTACCACGTTTTCCCCTATTTGGTAATGGGAAAAGGCGTAGAACCTAGGAGCACCGCGTTTCTCTGCATTTCGACGCTTTTCTTCAATTTTGAGGAAAACTGCAGTCTATCCCAAGGGGTGGGTGCGCTGCTGATTTCTCATAAAAATGGGCAAACTATGAGACCCCCTTCGTCCACCTTTTATTTCTCTAACCTCACGATCTCTCTCCCCTCTCTACCTTTCTTTGCTCAAGCTTTCGCCCGAGCTTTCTCTGTTTTTCGCGGACAGGTTATAAAACCAGGGTTCTCAGCTTTCCACATCCATACTTTTATACTTGGGAAAAGTTTATATTGAGCCGAGGTTCTAAACAATCAAATTCGAGCCTACCTCAAAAATTTTCACTAGAAGAGGTTTGTTTTTGATGCTCAAGTATCTTCAAATTTCTCATCTCCACATCAAGATGCATGGACACGAAAAAAAAAAAATAGATTTTAAGTTTTGAAAAGACCGTCAATTTTCAAGTTTTCATAGATCTCTTGATCTATAGTGTTGTTGAAGCTTTAAAATTTATAAATAAAAATAAAAATATATTTTAAGGCTAGCATAAAGATTTCCAATATTGAAACCACATTTCTCGACAGTATTTGAAGATAGACTCTAATTTTATACGAACCGCACCCTTTATACTTTCACCTTTTTCTTAGGTTTTTAGTTTCTCATATGTTTTCACAGTTACCAAATAAGACTTTAGTAAACTACATCAATTGGAAGACCCCCTCTTTTGCTCTCTATGGAAAATGTTTATATAAGGATGCAACCTTAAAATGTAGAACTACGAATGCATCTCAAAAATCCATTGGAAAAGGTTTAATGTCGAAAAACCCTTTGATTGATAATCTCGACATCGAGATGTATGACCATGAAAAATAAAAGGATTTTAAATCTCAGAAATAGTACATTTTACAACATATTATCCATACTGTCCATCTTCAAGATTTTTTCATGTTTATATATCTACTTGATTGTAACCATTTTTTAAAATTAAAATTTTATAATTAGATATAAAAATAGATTTTGAGATAATCCTAAGAACATTTTACATCAAAATTACATACCATGATAAAATTTGAGAGTGCACCTTACCTCTATCGCTTTGGATGAATCCGTATGCCAACTGCACCCCTAAATCATTATTTTTCTAATTGGCCAAGCCTGACCGAGTCCACTTGGACTTGGCCTAGTTTATTGGACTGTCCTCGGCTGAGCCGCGTAGCCATATATAACTCGGGTATAAAATAAAAATAAAAATAAGGAAAAATATCTCCATAGCCCCCATTTTTAAGTTTTATATCTCAATATATCCAAAGTTTCAAAACATATCTTGGATTTTAAAAATTATAAGTTTTGTATCTTTTAACCCTCTAAGCTAACTTTATCCCTTTTAAAATTACTTTTTTGTCTCAAACAAATATAAAAAAGACATCTTTTTTAAACATCATCCTTTCTCTCTCTTCACATGATTTCCCCTTAAATCTCTCTCTACCTATTTTCCCACACTCTCTCTCCTTTTGTATCTCTCGCTCACTCTCTCTCTTTTGTTAGAGAGACAAAGAAGGTAAATATTAGAGAGAGAAATTTGAGGGGAATATATCACCTAAAAAGAGGAAGTGTTTAGAATGAGAATGTCTTTTTTAAATTTGTTAAGGCCAAAAAAATAGTTAAAAATAGACAAAATTAGTCCTAAGATTAAGAGATATATTTTGAATCTTTGGGTTTATTGAGATATGAAAACAAAAAATAGAGGGTACGGGGATATTTCCCCTAAAAATAATATAAATCTATAGGAAGTATATACAAAAAGTATACATGCAATTTGGATGTGTTTTACAATGAATTTTTAGTCTTCTTGTCAAATGTCATATTTTTGTATTTCTCTTTTTTTTTGGATTTTTTTGAAATATCTCTAACCGTATTTTCTAAATCCATGTTCTCGTGCCTATACATTACTTAGCCGAGGTGAGTTATTCGAGTCCGAGTGTAACTCCCCTCAGCCAAGGACAAGTCGAAGGGTTGAGGCAAATAAGAAAACATTGTTTTAAATATGGAAAAAGTTTATACAAGGATGCGACCTTATAATGTAGAACTACGGATGCCCCTTAAAAATCCATCGGAAAAGGTAGTTTTAATGTTGAAAAACCTTTGCTTGATCATCTCGACATCGACATGTATGACTATGAAAAATAAAAGATTTTAAGTCTCAGAAATAGTGCATTTTACAACATATTATCTACACCGTCTATTTTCAAGATTTTCATAGGTTTATAGATCTACTTGATTTTATCCATTTTTGAAATTTAAAATTTTATAATTAGATATAAAAATAGATTTTGAGATAATCCTAAGAACATTTTACATCAAAATTATATACCATGATAAAATTTGAAGGTGTACCTTACCTCTACACCTGCGGATGCATCTATATGCAAACTGTACCCTTTAAATATTGGGAGGATAGCATCAGATACTTGTATGGCACAAACTGCAATATACCTGATATGCCTCTCTCTGTACACAACCAATTTCTTCATTGTGTAATCAATGTCTCTTCCTTCTCCCCTAACCAACAAGTATGTCTACTGCTGCTGGTGGGGCAGAGTGAAGGTGCAAAAGTTTTGAGAGCATAGCAAAAACAACTAGAAGATTAAAATTTGCAATTTAGAAAATTGAGAACCTGCTTAAGAAATCTGTAAAATCATGAAATCTGCTGATGGGCAGATATTACATGATATCATGTAACATCATGAACCTGGTTAAGAAACCTGCTGATGGGCAGAGTGAAGGTGCAAAAAGAGAGCATAGCTAAAACAAGAAGAAGATCAAACTATGCAGTTTATAAAATTGAGAAGCCTGGTTTATGAAATCTCATGAACCCAATGGCCATATCATGCCAAAACACATTGTATCATACACTCTTTTACCAGGCAGTATTCTACAAAATATGAATCAAAGGGCAGCTCGTTTCCACTCATGATAGATGCCAAAACTTGTGGTTTTGTCCCAAAGGTGAGGTTCAGCATCTAACACTCTCCCTCTAAATCCATTATCAGATCCCATGCATCTCACGTGTTGGAGGGCCTTAATGTGCTGCAGCCCTTCTGGAAGCATCCTCAGCTTGGGACAAGACTGGATTTCAAGAGTATGAAGGCATGGCATAGATCCCTGCTCCAATCTCTCCCACTCCTCTAACTTTGTCAAATTATAGAGCTTCAAGTGTTCGAGTCGAGGAAAGCCTCCAGCAATGCAATGCATCGCCTTCCCCATGTACGCTTGATCCTGCAACCAAAGAATTGTCAGCTGCGGCAACACTTGGAACTTTGTGAACTCATCTTCATTCAATCTACTATGCACCAAAACCAACTTGGTGAGGTATTGCAGGGTGCCAAACCAGCCTGGGAGCTTCACTAACTTTCCATATAACTCCGTTTTCTCAAGAAGCACCGGGGCATGTGAAACTGCTGCCAGATTGTGTAGTGTCTGAGTAGCACATCCGTCAGCCTTAAGAGTCAGAGAACGAAGGCATTTTAGTTTTCCAATGGATTGGTACACAGTTTCAATGTCTTTTTCATCCATCCCCTCAATTCGTAGCTTCCTGAGTTGGGAGAAACCCCCTAATGATTCTCGTATCCACCTGCTGCCCCCCCCCTGTATCCACAATGTCTGTAGGCATCTCGAACTCTCTCCGTTCAAATGGATCGGTTGGTTTTCCAGAATGTCCCAGCTTGCATACAAGTGCCTCAAACTTGGCAAGGGCCTACATGAAATCAAGCCATTCCTGGTCTTGCAAGGAATAAGGCTTTTAACTCTCAAATCAAGCATTTCTAAATGTTCAAGCTTTCTTATAGATTGCAGAAACTCTCCAGCAACCTCGCTTCCTCGAAAACTCAAGTAACTCAAATGAGTTAAATTTCCGAGTCCTTTTGGTGAGTATTCCATCCTGACATTCTCAAGCACCAGTACCCGAATAAGCTTACCATTGAACAAACAATATTTGGGAACCATGGTGAAGTCCTTATATGAAAAGGTGTCATATAAGAAGAACGAACGGATTTTAGAAGGAGCTTTATGGGATGAGAGATCATCATCAACATCATCATGGAAGGCAAGACGTCGAACCCTTTGAGAGGGCATATTACCTCTACCTGCAACAACCCCCAAGAAGTTCTGCTCCTTGGCTATTGCTAGAGATAAGTCATGCAAAAGATCATGCACAACACATGATTTAATGCGTCCATTCAAACTTACACTTTCCACCTGTATCATATTCCGATTTACCAATTCTTCAAGATAGTCGTCTGCCACATCTTCCAATATCTCATTATCTTCCTTTTCAATAAATCCTTCAGACACCCATAATTGTATTAATGTTGTTCTTCTAATCTTGAAATCTTCAGGGTAAGCAGATAAATATAGGAAACATGGTTTAAGGTAGTAGGGCAAATCGAAATAACTTAATGATAATATCATAGAGATTTTGACCTCACCTTTATCCTGATACCGGCTGAAGCCCTCAAGCACTTTCCTCCATGCCAATGCGGTCATTGTTTCACTTGACATGACTTTTGTGGACAGAAGACCTCCAACAACAACAAGCGCCAAGGGTAAACCACCGCATTTTCTAATGATGCCATGGCTAATGTCTTTTAAATACTCAGGACATCTTCCATCACTATGCAAGAAAGCCTTTTTGCAGAACAACTCCCAACTCTCTTCTTTTGGCAGTGGTTGGAGATGATGGATTGTGCTCCCATCCACCATCTCAGCCAAGCCCATGTTTCGAGTTGTTATTAAAATTCTACTGCCATTGTTCACATCAGGCAGTGCATCTCTTATAGAAACCCAGGCATGGATATCCCATATATCATCCAAGACTATTAAGTACCTCAATGCGCCCAAATGACTATGGAGAACCTCCTTCATTCTTGGTTCATTCATATCTTGTAAGCCCTCGGGTGACGCCACAAGCCTGTTTTTGCCTAATGATAACACCCCAACCCTATTGATTATGCCACGAAGTATCTCACTCACACTATAAGTTTGAGACACACAGACCCAATCCGAATATTCGAAGAGTGCCTTTACATTACCTCTATTATAGACTTTCTTGACAAGAGTCGTCTTACCAACGCCACCCATACCGACCACAAAAACCTTGCAGCGCCGGTCACCTCCTACCAGCAACGATCGCTCTAAAGAACTCATCTCTTCCTCAATCCCCACTAAATCTCGCTCCACTTGTAGAGGTGATGTTTTCCTCATCTCCCTTAACCTCTTGACTCTACAACTGGTTGCTTCCTCCCAGGTGCTGCCTTGTGGCAAATCATAGAGGGAACTCCTCTTCGAGATATCATCAAGCTTCGTGTTTATTACTTCAATCTTCACTCCGACCTGGTGCCGACCCCATAACTGCCCAAGAAAGACGACAGAATTACTCAAACAACCAATGAATCCTCTTCTCTTTCGTCGTGCAGCTTGATCAAGGAATGCGTCGATCGCATCCTCAGCCTCATAGGCTAGATCTCTTATCTGCCTCACCAAAACTTTTGTCATGTCATCATCTGCTGCTACTATTTTCTCCGCATGCTTGAGGAAGGCATGCATCCTCTCCAATTCATTTGTCAGCCGTACAACTTTATCGGGAATTCCGTAGAGATGGATCGCTTCCTGTACAAGTGGTTCACTAATTTTTTGCAAGAGGATCCGCAGAACCGATTCAGCCATTTCCAATCTTTTCACTGTACTAGATGATCTCTCTCTGCAGTCCTTAAGCGCTCTGCTTGTTTACAGCATTAAGCTTTGCTCTCTTGACCTTTCTATTTTTTTTTGATAAACTATTTGCATTTTTCCTTTTTTTTATGCATCATGTGGTTATGTTTCTACCTATGGAGACTTTAATCCTAGCCCACATTGACTTCTTTTTTTATTATTATTATTATTATTATTATTATTATTATTATT